ATCTTCCCCATCAGAAAGCTGGTGTTCATAGAAAGAAGGGGAAGAACAGACTGGAATTTGGCCCAACTTCTAGTCCACAGGGGCAGTTCTCTTATGGGCTCGCCTAGGAATCGAACCCCAAGCTTGCCGGAAAATCACCTCCGACCAAATCCCGAACCCGGCCCGTCTGGGAATACGAACGATTCGATTTTAATTGGAGTTTCAGAAAAATTGCGAGTCCTCCAGATCCCAAATCCCTTGATCCATCCACTAGATATTTTCTTGTTAACTCCCTAATTTCTCGACACACAATCTCCTCCTCCTCCTCCTCAACGGAATCAAAGAACGGGTGCTGGAGGACCTGAGCCGCCGTCCACCTCTCTCTCGGGTCCTTCGTCAAACACCTAGTGAGCCAGGGCCCAGATCCTTCATCTCAGGCCAGGGCTGAAGAACGCCATCTTGTATATCGCCGCCGCCGGGTCCTTCGTCTCAGGCCAGGGCCCGGATCCGGTTACCATTTCAACGACCCTGCAGCCAATTTTTTTTTCTTTTCTTTTTGTTTAATCGCAAATCTCGCTGGGTCCTTCAATCCCAAATCCCATTATCCAATTTTCTTTTTTTTTTCTTTTTGTTTTTTGTTTAATGATTTTAATCCATGTGTCTACATGTGGATTTTTGTAACATTTTCTATTTTTTTTTTAAGTTTTTAATATTATTTTGTTCCATGTGTCTAAACACTTGGGCCCATTTCGTGCCACATCACGCCGGGAATAAAAAATCAGATCCAACTAGGCGCCATGTCAGCTTTTCCGGCAAAAATGACACCGGAATGTCAATTTGGACTAAAATTACCAAAAAAAAAAATGATAGTGTACCAAAAGTAAAAAAAAAATAATTAAAGGACGAAAGTGCAACTCGGGTATAATTAGTGGACGAATGGTGCAATTTTTCCAATTTCTTACAAAACCTTGGAAAGAAGACACATAGAATGAAATAATGTATATCTTAGCAGCTGGTATTAATGTACATTGCTTATGGGAAGACTTGATTAACTACAAACAGTAAGGATAGATGAATCAACGACCAAAACAAAACATCCGTGGATCAGCAACAAACAAATAAAATACTGTGGTATCTGCACAATGACCATGAGCTCCCATAATATCTATTTCACAACTCAACTCTGATCATGCATAAAAAGTCTTAATTATAAGATTAAAAAATTGTAATTACATAAAACAAGTATTTTCAAACTTATACAGACCACAAGTTCTGTGATTCCAATTAACATTAGGAATAAAGAGGTGTATTGTGCATTTAAGTTTCACATAGTACTCATAACTTTTTTTTTTTTTGTCATTATTCTTTCAGCATATACAGTTCACTAGATCATTTCACATGATCAGATGGAAACAATCAGAGGACACCCAGAAAAACAAGGCAACTGTTGCGAATAAAAAAAACAATTGTTGGACATCTAACCATGCGAAGACCGAAATATGCGTGACAACATTGGAAATTATAACGTGGTGTGGTACGCTGCGTGCTCTATCGGTGTACAAAATTTGTGTTAACTCTCAATTAAGCTATTTAATTTGGAAAGTGATCGACTCCAATTTTTGATAATGAAAGACTCATTAATTAATTGTAATATAAGGTAGTATTGTTTTATAAATATTAAAAATATATATATAATGATATTTTGTTAGAAAATAAAGAATTGACAAATAAATTTTATAATAAATACGTACTTATGTAATGAAAATATATTAATGTTTTATACTAACCCACTCCTTAACTATCACCCTTATCTCACTACTTACATGATATCTCTAAAAGTTTCTTAAAACTAATTTGATATTTTAAAAAATAATATGCAATAATACGTTTTTCAGTTTTGTTATGAAACCAACAGTTGACTTCATAGTGGAGTCAACCTTCTGTATACAACAAATAAACCTACCATATTCTCTGATTACTTAAATAACACTAATATAATTTTATTAATATGGTAGATATATTTGTTGTATACAGAATGTTGACTCCAATATAGAACCAACTGTTGGTTTTATAGCAAAACCGTACATTTTTACTATGATATTTTTAGACTATCAATGAAAAATATAATATTTGTTGAGGTTTTGATGTGGGCAAAATTTTTTAAGAATAAATAAATTGTTATATTTGAGATTTTCTAGTAGAAAATAGAAATTGCAATTTTAGACATGCTTTTATGAGTTTTCTTAGATTCAATTTAATCAAATAACCTTTTAACTAGTGCGTAGCCCGTGCGATGCACGGGTAAATTATATTAAATAATAATTATATTTTAACTAGTGCCTAGTCCATGCGATGCACGAATAAACTATATTAAATAATAATTATAAATTAATGAGTGAGTGAAAAATATTAAATAATAATTATAAATTAAAGAAGTGGGATTCACACGTGATATAATTTACAATATAAAATTATTTTATCTAAGATAACATAAAACATGTATGCTTAAAATATTAAGAACACCTAATATATTATACAACATATATTTAACATATATATATATGTACATATAAATTACTAATTATGTTCATTTCTTGTTAACTTCATATTGATTTATTGATTTTATTTTATTTCCATACAAAGTTGATCATTTCTATTTATTTTACCATATTTTCGTGGAGATTTAATAAAGTCGGTTGTAATTATAAAATAGTTTGGATGTCAACATACAATTTAATGGAGTTTTTAAAATCATGTACTAATAACAAATAATATATATCATTAGATATTATTTTTTTTTTAAATGCACAGCTATTGAAACTGAGATTTTGAAAATTATTTTACTTTTTGAAATCGAGTTTAAAAAAAACCAATAGATTGGTAAACAAAGAATTGATGAACATTACCAAGTTTATTATCACACGATCCAAATAAATAAATTGTCATAATTTGTGGAAGATGATATTTAAAATATATTTTTAGTGTTCAATATATTTTTTGAAATGAACAAATATAAAGACCGAGATTCTAAGACTTTTTTTTACCTTTTGAATTGAGGTTTCATAAATATAGAGATCGAGATTTTAATGTTGTTCGTTGTTTCTAAGAAAAAAAAATGCAACTTAATAGATCTTAGCCAGAATTTTCAAATAATAAAATGAACTAAAGCCCGAAATTTAAGGTAGTATTTAATGTTGTATGATTTTTTTTTTTTTAAATAATAAATATAATAAAACTTACTATTTATGGGATACAATAAATGCTGCCTTATTTTTTTGCTACTATTTTTAGTAAATGGTTATTTTTCTTATATATATACTAGTACAGAGTCCGTGCGATGCACGGGGTGTACAATTTTAAGGCTATTTATCCAGGCTTATAATTATATACATGAATACAAAAAAATATATGGGATATATATAGTACGTGACTCGTACGAGGCACGAGATATATTTATTTGGGAAATATTATATTATAAGATGCAATATTCAATAAAAGTTTTATAATACACAGAAAAATTGTACAATAAGATAGTATTCGACAAAGAAAAAATCATATATTAGATTTAATTTTGACCGATTAAATCTTTATTTATAGGCTTGACATATAAAACTTATTTGATGGGATTTTTTTAACTAAACCGATGTTATGGGATAAAACAAATCTATACTTACCTTTGACTTTTCCAGCAAAGGTAAAAAAATCGGTTATGATTTTTATCCCATAACAAATCTTTAATGTCAAACCTATAAATAGCAAAACAAATCTGTAATTAATGTCATTCTATTTCCAACATGCATTAATTACCTTTGACTTTTTTGCCTAATATTTCTATTAAATAGGATGACTTTCTATATAAGTATAGATATAGATATAGATTCCATTAGTGAATTATAAAAATTTTATGGAGCCATCCACCACTTAATGTATTGATACATGTCCAAAGTGTATTTATTGCAGAACACATGTCAATACACTATTGGTGAATAAGTGTGGATGACTCCATAAGCCTAACCATTTGATGGCTCCATAACAAAACTGTAGTTAATTAAAACAAATCTTGGTACAAAAAAAAACAATCAATAGAAAAGCAATTGATTTTCGGTGCACAACAGGTAGCATCACTATTCGAGAAGAAATAAGAATCATACCTTATAAACATATACCTAACTACGACAAAGAAGAATCAAGTGAACCCTAAAAATATCGTCCTTATTGATATTACATTTCACATTGAAATACTCTAGTCAAATAATCATTAAGAAAAAGAGTTCTAAATATGACAATGATGCCCAAATCATACATATGTATTATATCTTCATCTCTAAAAGAACGGGTAAAATATACAAGATCCCCTTGTATTATACGAAATCTGCGCGTTTCCCCCCTATATTTTAAAAATTGCGTCAGACCCCCTTCTATTAAGGTTTTGTATGCGCGAAACACCCAAAATTTAGACGATTTTAGGTGTTTTGCGCATACAAAACCTTAATAGAAGGGAGTCTGACGCAATTTTTAAAATACAGGGGAGAAACACGCAGATTTTGTATAACACAAGGGAGATTGGTGCATTAAACCCCTAAAAGAACTACCTCTACACCAATCTCAACTATGACACAATCATAGCCTCAACAGCCCCCTTATGAAAACCTAGGAAATTACATTTTTTCTTTCACGAAAAAAAAAAAGAAAAAAAATCCTTTCTATTATACCATGGCAAAATCATACTGATGATCTCAGCCAATTGTAATTAATACTCTTAATTACCCCTACCTGAAAAAACACTCCATACAAACAGATCAAACGTTAGTGCTCACAAGCTTCATATGTTGTGATAAATCCTCTCTACTCCCTTGATACCGATCGATGACGTATATATAACACGCGACAGACAATCCTGCTATTAGGCCCATTACGGACATGACTCGTGCACCCGAATTGTTGTCCCACTTATTCTGGTAAGAGCCCAAGAAGCCCGCCTTGCAGGAGTCGCAGTCGAAGCAATTGAGGCCCACTTGGGCCCACTGTTGGCACTCGGCATCTGTCGAGTTGAGCCCGTAGCCTGCCACCACCCAATGCCCGCCAGGGGCCTGCACCATACCACACCGGTTTGGAGGACTGCAACACCCTGCCTGCAAATTAACACGAATATATACCCCAAAATTAATGAATGAAATAATTTTTAGCCTCTCAGACAGTCTAACAGAAAAGATACGTAATAAATAAGATTCGGAGGACCAAATTATATATATTTATAAAAAGATGGCTATGCATGAACATTTTACCCTACCGGTGACTGCAGTTATGCAATAACTAGGTAAAAAACTTGGTGACCGCAGAACTGCAGTCAACGATATAATCTGAGAGAGAAAGAGAGAGAGAGACGCACATCGATCAAGACGTCTTTTTGGTCCTCCGTCTGATTCTTCATGATCCGACACGTGTCGATCCTCCGGAAGCATACCTTGGCGGCCGTGAAATCCCTGTCGTTGGCGATTGTCTTCTGGGCAGCCGAGCCGTACTCGCGCAGCCACATGCCGTGCTCGGCCGTGAGGCCGAACGCGACATTTCCAGGGACTCCGGGCATGACAGCCCACACGAACATGCAGAAAACGACAACGGCGGCCGTCGAGATCATGAGGGCCAATAGATAGACGTACCGTAGGGCCCGCACGTCGAGACAAGCTCCGGCAATCCCGACGAGGGCCACGGCCGAGCAGGCAAAGCCGAGCCGCCGGATGGAATGGACGCTGTCCCGGAGGCACTCGTTAACCGACGACGACTCGCTGATGTCAGCGGCATTGAATATGTGGTATAGGCCGTAGATGAGGATGACGACGTTCATGAGGGTGAGTAGGATCTTAGGGAAGTTGATCATTGTTCTTTTTTATTAATTAAATGTTGATTAGTTAATTAATCAATATATGGAGGCTTTGAATTGTTAATGGAGGGATTTTTTATGAGGGTTTTTGGTGAAGAACACAAAAATGTTTTGCATGGATTAAAAAGGTTTAATGGGAGCTGAAAAATAGAGGAAAATGTTGACCAGCACCAGATTTTGTGGGGGCATTTGCTTTTGGTCGAAATTAATCTAAATTTGGTAAATTAAATGGTGGCTTGAGATGGGTCAACATTCCACATTTCTATTTGTGGAACGTGATGGTATGTATGAATTTATCCATAGCATGATTTATGGAATCATTCATAATTAGTCATAAATGGTATATTGACATGTATTCTATTTATTGTTGAATCGTTCTAATTAATAGACGAATTAAATCATCGTACTTATTTAATGAAATTGTATGTATACTATGAAATGTCATATATGTTATCTTATAGAATATGACATTTTAATTTGAAAATATGCATATTAATTAAGAATGGTCATCTAACCATTCGACATTTCTAACAACAACTTACTGCATATTATAAAGGTATGTTACAACTTACATATTGATTAAGAATGGTTATCTAACCATTAGACATTTCTAACAACATCTTACAGCATATTATAAAGGTATGTTACAACTTACATATGTTATCTTGCAAAAATGTTACGTTATAAATAAGTTATTATAAAGTTGTGTTACATGTGTTATGTTGCAAAATTATTATGATATGAATGAGTGTTACTATCTAACGTTATTTATGTTGTACTGTACTTAGGACTGCAAAACGAGTCGAGCAGCTCACGAGCGCTCTAGTCAATGCTCGACTCGATCTCGGTCAAACTCAAACTCGAATAGTTCTATCGAGCAAACAAGTCGAGCAACTCACAAATTGTTCGTGAGCGCTCGAGTCAATGCTCGACTCGATTTCGGGCAAACTCAAGCTCGAGCAGTTCAATCAAGCAAACGAATCGAGCTTCGAGCTTCATTTCAAGAGGCTCGTAAGTTCGACGAGTCGCTCGACTTTTATTTACATAAATACCATAATATAATTTAATTATAAATATTAGAACACCAATGCCAAAATTATCTATTTATATTAAAAATAATACCTTTATAATCAAAATTAGTTGTTATACTTTTGAGCCCAAACTCAAGCACCAATTTACATAGCTTGTCAAACTCGAGCAGTGAAGAAAAAAATTCCATCCGTACTCGACAAGGTTTATACTTGACTCGACTCGTTTGCAGGGATATATTCACCTACACCTGCTCGATTGAAGTTGAGATTAAAGAGAAATCAAGTTGTCTAATGAAACATATCCCACGAAGGGGATAAGATTTGTTGTTCCAAAAGTATGTTTCAACTTATATGTCATTCAATTATATAAATATGTTAAATATTAATGGCCAGAAAATTCTATAGTGTTCTTGATCATTTTAGAATAGAAAATATATATTACATAGGCACTAAGTGTTATTTACTAATAAAGTAGGAAACTTCTGGACATGACCGACCGCCTCAACCATGCCTATATATACATGTAATGAGTTTGAGCAAAGGTAGAAGAATTACAGCATTGTCCAATCTCATTTACTCACAAATTAATACATATTTTCTTTCCCAATTATTTTCCATTCCATTTTCACATTAATATATCAATAGTGGTATCAGAACCCAGTCGATCAAAGGACTTGGGGCGTCACAATACAAATGGCATCATCATTGTTGATACCAAATTTTGGCCTAGCCTATTATAATATTACACGTGGATATGTATTATATCAATTATTTATTTTCGGGCCTTAAATAGTACCGCTTGTAATAATATCGGGCCCATTAAATAGATATATATATATATCTCCAATGATAGACACAGACAGATAAGTCTGAGGGGTGCTATTATTATTTTTCCTATCTTATCTCTATGGGGAGGAGGCACCGCCAAAAATTTCCTCTGGGCTTCCTAATTCTGTATGTTTCTTCAACAGTAATACAGAAGGAAAAATACAGTAATTCTCCGAAAATTCATACAAAAAATCACACCAAAAATCACCAAAAATATATATCAAAAAATATACGATAAATTCTTCTGAACCCCCCCATGTTGATCATATTTCGAGCATCAACAGTTTGGCGCTAGAGGAAGGTCCGTATTTGCTCGGGTTAACCTTCATCCGAAAACGGCCGCTTTGCAGACAATCAATTCAAGTTGAGCAAACTTATTTCATTAACTCAGATTTCTCCATATTCAATACTCTGCTCTTCATGACTATGTTCATGAATATACTTCTGTTCTGCAAATTTTTATTGATGTGGAGACAATAGCATCGAGAATGAAAAACCACAACAGAGAAATAGCAAAACGACGCACCGCCTCTGAGTTTGTTCTTTATCTCTCCAAATTTTTTTGTTCTTATCTCTCCGTCACATAAAACGACAAAAAAAAAAATAAATAAAAGAAAACGCAACTCACTCGCCCATCAAATGAAAACCAGCTTTCTCAAACTATATTCCACTCCTTTGGCCCAAACAAAAAAAGAAACAAGGCGCGTCTACTGAATGAATTAAANGAAAGAGGCTAAGCATCGGCGGAGGAAGGCTATAATTCCGGCAACAACCACCATGTAGCTGCCGTCTTGCCACCGCCAGAGAAAGATCAAGGGAGAGGGAAGAATAGAGTTGCAGACAACAACACGTCGTCGGGGCCGTCTACAAACCGACATAGCATAGTCGGGATATCGACATCTCCAACCTTTGACCGCCGACACACACCCACAGTTGTGGGACCGAGTTCAAACTTCATCACAGACCGATGGGGCCAAACTCGAAAAACCGACCTCACCAATGACGGTCAAAACCGACCTCGCAACAGACCGAGGTCCGACTTCGCCGTTTACCGACGAACTTCATCTCTTACTGTCCCATCCGACCTCGAAAGGCCCCAATGACCTTCAAATTTGATTTCGGTCGTCGAGGAGGACCTTTTCACAATTCGGCCGACCTCCAAGCAAGCCCAACCGAGCTGCACAAGTCGGCCGGAACCGACCTCGTCCCCCCGAACCGACATCAACATCTCGGTTCCATCGCTAGCTGGAGCCGACTTCGGCACTATTGAGCCAGACATCCGAGAACTTACCTCAAATCAGATCGCGGCCTCGAAGAACCTTGAAATGCGAACTCGGTTAACGGGGTCACACTCTTTGCAGCCGGACCGACTTCAACAACAACCGACTTCACATCTTCAGTTCCTGACTTTCCACTGTCGGAACCGACCTCAATCAACGGCGCACGTGCTCGGACCTCGAAAATCGTAGATGGGCTTACCTCGGCGACCCCGACCTCAAAAATCGCCGACTTTACTTGTGTTGCGACCCTGACATCCTCGACATCAATGCTCGGTGTTAGCCGATCTCAATCTACGACCGTCACAAGCTCAGATCTCTCGCGATCGACCTCCATAGCAGGATAATCGGATCTCTCATATCACTAATGGACATGCTTCTTCAATTTCGGGCCCCGACCTTGATGATGGGCTGACCTCTTCAACACAAGTCCGACTTCACCTCAAGAAAGGCCGACCTTATAACAGCCCCCGAGATCCGATTTACCAAAAGAACCGACCTCGACATCCTCAATCTTACGGCCGACCTCACCATTCACAATTAGCAGATCGGGCCATTCTTATCACCGACCACAAAGGTCGTCGGAGTTCGGTAACCTTACGACCGATCTCCGAATTACATCGAAGCTCCACTGTGTAGCTTTCTCAATCCATCAATTGCACCTCGGTCGGGTGCACTATGGCTCCCAATTCTCGGTAATTTTTCCAGTTTTTCACCCTTTTTGAAACTCTTCAAGAGAAATAATTGGGTGGAATGTGGACATGACTGACACGAGGGTTAAATTGGCTTTGAAAGAGGTTGGAAATGTTTGAATCAAAGTTGTACAGGCCATATATTTGAGGAAAACATAAAAGAAGATCCCACAATTATGGTGACATGGAATATAAACTGAATGGACGCCATAGCTTATTCGAGGCATTTTATTGGGCCTTTATTTTATTGGGCCTTACCCAAGGCGTATGTACATGAAATGGGGGCAACATCACAACTGAGCCTAATTCAACCAGGCTGATTAATTATTCGCCCATTGATAAGTCCATTTATTAAAACCAACAATAGCCGGCGCCGATCTTATTCATACAAGGTCAATTTATTACTCGTCCGCAGACTGAGCCCAATTCAACTGGGTCTCTTTATCTTTTGATTGCTCGCCGTGAGCCACGACTCCGGCTGAGCCGACGTCTTATTATTGCTCGCCGTGAGCCACGACTCCGGCTGAGCCGACATCCAATTATTGCTCGCCGTGAGCCATGACTCCGGCTGAGCCGACGTCTTATTATTGCTCGCCGTGAGCCACGACTCCGGCTGGGCTGACGTCTTATTATTGCTCGCCGTGAGCCACGACTCCGGTTGAGCCGACGTCTTATTATTGCTCGCCGTGAGCCACGACTCCGGCTGGGCTGACGTCTCATTATTGCTCGCTGTGAGCCACGACTCCGGTTGAGCCGACGTCTTATTATTGCTCGCCGTGAGCCATGACTCCGGCTGAGCCGACGTCCAATTATTGCTCGCCGTGAGCCATGACTCCGGCTGAGCCGACGTCTTATTATTGCTCGTCGTTGAGTCTCGACTCCGGCAGAGCTAACATTTATATGTGCTCGCCGTTGAGCCACGACTCCGGCTGAGCTGATATTTACATTTTCTCGTCATTAAGCCTCTGCTCTGACTGACCCCATACTGGTTAGGCAAAGTCAATAAGACCTTTCCGGCTGGGCAATATTAAAATACGTCGGCATAATAAAAAGCCGAATCTCGAAATATAATTCGGCTAACCGACTCTTAAAATATTTTAGTCAGAAATAAAAATTGCCGACGTTCCTTTAAAAATTCAGCGAGTAAAATAAAATGCTAAATATCTTAGTCGGAAATAAAAATTGCCAACGTTCCTTTAAAAATTCAGCGAGTAAAATAAAATGCTGAATATTTTAGTCGGAAATAAAAAGTGCCGACGTTCCTTTAAAAATTCAGCGAGTAAAATAAAATGCTGAATATCTTAGTCGGAAATAAAAATTGCCGACGTTCCTTTAAAAATTCAGCGACTAAAATAAAATGCTGAATATTTTAGTCGGACATAAAAATTGCCGACGTTCTTTTAAAAATTCAGCGACTAAAATAAAATGCTGAATATTTTAGTCGGAAACAAAAGATACCGACATTCCTACATATATAATATTCCGGTAAGGCAGAGCACCTACCGACAGACAAAGTCAGACTCGACAAAATATCGAGGTAACATTATTTTTCGTGCGTTAATCATTTATTGCACGAAATCATCATATATTCACACATTCATACATTCATACGCGCGTCATACATGCATCTTGACATGAACATAAAAAGTCAAGCAAAAAAATCCTTAAGGACCCACGCTGGTGAGGTGCAATGTAAAACCTTACTGGCAGGGATCATTATATTCCTTAAGCACCCACACTGGTTAGGCAAAGTCAATAAGACCTTTCCGGCTGGGAAAAATAAAAATTAAAACCCACACTGGTTAGGCAAAGTCAATAAGACCTTTCCGGCTGGGAAAAATATAACAAGAAAATTTTACACCGAGTTCTTCAGCTCGGTAAAATAAAATAAAAATAATTCGGCTAACCGACATTGGCACAGTAAAAAGGCCGAATCTCGAAAAATCATTTGGCTAATCGATGTCGGCACAGTAAAAAAGCCGAATCTAAATGAAAAACTAATAAGAAAATCTTTTCCAGACCCTGAAGTTGGTTTGGCAAGGCTAAAGCCCTACATATTACATCAAAGATCGGGAACATATTGGCCGACTGAGAAATAATTAAACAAAAATAAAAGACCGAGGACCGGATACTAAATTATCCGACCAGGTCCACATAGTAAAGAAAAACAATCACAAATCAAACAAAAAATCGCGTCGTCTTAATACGACAGAATCGCGAATCCGGTAACAATTCCGGGGGCCCGAGTGCCCACACAAATCCATATCATTATTGCAATTACAAAAGCAATTTAGTAAACGCTTCGTGTAACACGCAAAAACGCGAGAGCCAGGTAACAAATTACCCAACTAGGCCACCCAGGCCTCATTCAAAATTCCAGAAAAATTGACTATCCATGTCATTGGCTCCACGGGTCCCAAAGTACCCGGCCAACATTGATTACGGCCAAAATTGATTATACATGCGACTTCAGAACAGTTCTATTCAAAACATGCCCTAAAGTCGGGGGCCTACTGTTGATACCAAATTTTGGCCTAGCCTATTATAATATTACACGTGGATATGTATTATATCAATTATTTTATTTTTGGGCCTTAAATAATACCGCTTGTAATAATATCGGGCCCATTAAATAGATATATATATCCCCAATGGATAGACACAGACAGATAAGTCTGAGGGGCACTATTATTATTTTTCCTATCTTATCTCTATGGGGAGGAGGCACCGCCAAAAATTTCCTCTGGGCTTCCTAATTCTGTATGTTTCTTCAACAGTAATACAGAAGGAAAAATACAGTAAATCTCCGAAAATTCATACAAAAATCACACCAAAAATCACCAAAAATATATATAAAAAAATATACGATAAATTCCTCTGAACCCCCCATGTTGATCATATTTCGAGCATCAACAATCATCAAGCAACACTATTCCTCTACCAATATTTGGAGGAGAAAATTATGACTATTGGAGCATCAAGATGAAGACATTATTTTTATCACAAGAGTTGTGGGAAGTTGTCGCAGATGGAGTCAATATTCCCATGGATATATCAACATTGTCTGTACAAGAACAGAAAAAGCTACGTAAGGAGCGTCGGAAGGATGCACAAGCGCTCTACATAATCCAGCAAGCCTTGTCGGATAATATTTTTCCAAGAGTCATCAAAGCCAACTGTGCCAAAGAAGCTTGGGAGATTTTACAAAAAGAGTTTCAAGGAACATCCAAGGTACGTGCAATCAAATTACAGACTCTCAAGCGTGATTAAGAAAATTTAGTGATGAAAGAAAATGAGACAGTGAAAGAATATTACACAAAATTAATTGAGCTTGTTAATCAAATGAGAGCAGCTGGAAAAGATATTTTAGATAAAAAGGTTATTGAAAAGATACTAATTACTGTCACTGAAAAGTATGACCCAATCGTTACAGTTATTGAAGAATTGAAAGATTTAAATACTTTATTAGTGACAGAATTAGTTGGTTCTCTCGAGGCTTATGAAAGAAGAACAACTTTGAAGAAAAATGAAAAAGAGGTAGAAACAGCATTTCAGTCAAAATTAAATTTACGGTCTCAAAATTTCAAAAATCAAGAAAAAAGAAATCCAGAAAAATCAAGTGATGGTGAATATTCTAGACTCGAAAAAAAAAATATGGTATGATACACCATGTGAAATTTGCAAGAAAAATAATCACAAAGAAGAAGAGTGTTGGTTTCGAGAGAAATCCCAATGCAAAAAATGTCAAAGGTTTGGTCACATTGAGAAAAACTGTTGGGGGAGAAGACGAGGTCAACGAGCCAATTTTTCAGAAGAGACAGATCCAAAGCCAAAAGAATTATTGTTTTATGCCTCCAACGGTACAACAGGAGACAAAAGAAGCATTTGGTACTTGGACAGCGGTTGCAGCAATCACATGACATTCGACAAAAGTATTTTTTGCCATATTGAAAAATTCAGTTCACAGGTCAAGATTGGAAATGGCGACTACGTGGAGGCAACGGGCAAAGAACTATCGCCATCAACACAAGAGAAGGCACAAAATATATCAAAAATGTTCTCCTAGTTCCAACAATCGATCAAAATCTATTAAGTGTCGGCGAAATGTTAAAGAAAGGCTACAACTTGCATTTCAGGGGAGATTCATGCATCATTTACGGTAAAAACAAGAAAACAATTGCAAAAATCAAAATGATGGAGAATCAGTGTTTTGCAGTTAAATTTCGATACCCAACACAAAAGAACAAGTCAATTGTCAAGTCAAGTATCAACAGTCAAAGAGAAAACGCCAAGAAGGAAAATACTGGAGTCCCAGAATCAAGCCAACAGGAAGAGCAAGCTCACACAGTTACCATAAGACAAGCTACAAAATCACTACAGAGTATCTCATACTGCTAAAAAATATGCAATCGAACAATTGTCGAGCCAAATATTAAAGAAATCGCTGCACGAAAAATTTCAAAAACAACTCGTACAAAGTTGCTACATACACGAGAAAATTCAAAATCATTCGATTGAGCATTAAGGGGGAGTGTTAAATATTAATGCTCAATCTAAAAAATTCTATAGTGTTCTTCATCATTTTAGAATAGAAAATATATATTACATAGGCACTAAGTGTTATTTACTAATAAAGTAGGGAAACTTCTGGACATGACCCACCGCCTCAACCATGCCTATATATACATGTAATGAGTTTGAGCAACGGTAGAAGAATTACAGCATTGTCCAATCTCATTTACTCAAAAATTAATACATATTTTCTTTCCCAATTATTTTCTATTTCATTTTCATATTAATATACCAACAAAATAATACGTGTTCATGATGACGTACTTACAATTATATCATTCCACCGAATGAAATAAGAATTATTTAGGTTTAGGAAAGGGGTTGAAGGCTAAGTTAATCCATAATTTTCGAAATAGAAAATAATCTTTTCCAGACGAAGATGGTAGTAACAATAATTGATAGATTTTATTTTTTTTTTTATTTTTTTTCTGTTATCCTTTCGATTTCTCCTTTTTCCTTATTTGGGCAATTTTTAAACTAAATACTTCATATATGCGAAGTTTACTCCATATATTGTTCGTCTCTCTAGAGAGAATAAATAATTCAACTAAGCCTAAAATAGTAAGTACGTACAATACTGCAAAACAACAGATATATTGGACAATGAATGGAAAAAAACTAATATAGTTCCAATATGCTCATCTCTTCTTCAATATTAGCAAACTCCCACACCAAAACCAAAAAATAAAAAAAAAAATAAAAAAAAAAGGAGAGGGAAAAATAAATTAAAAAAAAAAATGAAAATGA